CCCACACACACACACACACAGACAAGTTTTGGAAGAAAAAGGAATGATGGATCCAGCCACCCAACAAATTCCCTGAGAGACACAAGCCTCTCTAAAATGAACTTTTGAAAACTGTATATAAAGGAAAAGAGATTCCACAGTCACAGGACAACAGTCCCCCATCCCACCGGATCATTCACTCTCTCTCTCTCTCACACACACATGCGCGTGCACGCGCATGCGTGCGTGTGTGTGTGCACGCACGCACGCACGTACACACACACACACACACACACACACACACACACACACACACACACACGCCTCCAGGAGAAAAAAAGTTAGATTGATTTGAAATTGAAATTAAATTAAGCCCTTCTGAAGAAGTAGCCTAAGCTACCTGAAATCCCTCCCCAAATTCTCAGTAAAGTTGATGACGAATGATGAATGCTGATGAAAAAGAAAAATATAAATCTTTGCTTTGCTGCCGCAAAAGCAAAACCGCAAGAGCACCAGCAAGCCAGCGAGCAGCAACTGTTCTCACTCCGGAGAGCATGAACAGAAGTGGGGAACGGCCAGATGGGAAAAGCTTATATGAAGCGTCTGTAAAAGTAGATACACCTTTCAGCAGCGCTATTGGCTGCCAGACATGTCAATCCAGGATCTCTGTCCTGATTGGCCAGAACTTCGAATTGGCACCAGCAAGCTCATAGAGGCTGCCTAAAGGTGTAACGAATATAGATGAATATGATTGAATTGACAAATAAAACCGAGGAAATATTCATCCTGATTTAAAATTTTACAATCTCTAATCTTGACCTACTCACAGAACAGTCATACTTCTAAGCTTTTAAATTAAACAATTTACAGGCATAAATAGATTGATTTTGTTTCTGTCCATGTGTCAGGTTTCCCTGAAACAAATCAAACCAGTTGCTTCATTTACCTAGGGTGGTTCCAGACTATTAGCATTTTATCTTTGCTCATTTTTAATCATTAAATTATCTAAGAAAATCTTTTTCAGAATTGCAGAAGGAAAATAAAGATCTTTATAATTAAGTGAAACAGAAGCAAGGCAGAATGCGGGTTATTTCAGAAGAAGAGGCCTTCCACTCCCTTTCCTTAAGTCCCTAGTTATGTGTTTAGTATGTGTACACTTGGATTTGGTGGAAACACTTTTGTGTACATTTTAATCAGTGTGTACAAAAACAAAATGAAAAAAAACTCCTTCCAACCAGTCAAAATCAGGGAACCAGAAGAGAAAAAAAAAACACATTTAATGGCAGATGTTGTAAAGTAGTAATAGAAGAAACAAACATTAAGGAAGCAAATTCTTGACTTTGCACCAAACCATGAGTCAATATTCTTCAGTAAATTGTCTTTTCTTGTTACACTCGTTCTCCATTGGAGAGTGTTTCCGAGTTATATAAAGGGAAAGATTTGATGAGGAGCACATGGCTGTCTTTAAAAACAAGGACTCTGTTTTTTACTCCACTTTGTAGAATAGTATCTTTTCCTCTTTTAACCCCCCCTCCAGTTCAGACAAAATTCACCGTATATATCTGCATTCTTGCCTTACCTTTTCTGCCCTCTCATCTGAAGTGTTATTTATTGTTCCTTTGCTGCCTTTTACACAGTTAAATGAATGACTGAGTTTAATTTCAAACTCCAGTGGAACTCAGATTTTAAAGCATGAAAGATCCTCATGAAAAAGAAGGGAAGGGGAAAATCCAACATCAGCAAGGAGGAATTGTTTTTGCTCCTTTCCCCTTCCCTTTACTATTTTATATTTTTCCCTGTAAACATTCAGTCAGTCCCACCAGAAGGAAAGGGTAGTTTGTTCATTTGAAATGGGCTTGCTGTTGCCTTTTAAGTACCTTTAGAAATCCAGGAACCCTTGCCAAAATGAGGTCTAGAGCAGAATGTTTCCTTTCTGTGGGACCAAACACATGAGAAGCTGCCAGTAGGTGGTCATAGTTCAGAGGTTTCAAAATGCAGATTAAGCTCAGTCGAGGCTTGCCAAACCTTTTTCAAGCCTGTCGAAGTCCAAAATAAATTCACACCTCCTCATTTCTGTCCTATTAATCAATCAATTCAAGAAACTACAGTCTGTGGTGGGTATCGGTCAGAGGCTCGTCTGTTCTTTTGGGCTGATGCACAGAATGAATGTTTTCATATATTTTAAAATTAATTTTATTTCCTGCATCTATACTTTTAATTTTTTTTTTCAAGAATGCAACTGTGACTACCTGTTGTCAGAGTGGACATAAATTTAAAAGTTAAAATAACAGCCTATTCCGTTATTTATTTATTTATTGAAAATCAAAATAGTAATCCTAAAAAAAAAATAGAATAAAGAGGAAAGTGTAAAGCCAGTTTGGTACAAATGTACAATAAGAAGATTTATTTTTTCATTTGGCTCTCTAAAAGTTTCCAAGTTTAAGCCAAAAAACATAGCTAAAAGTTCTTTCCTTCCAAGTACAAAGTCCAGTTTCCTTTTCGTAGAGTTGTCTCTCCAGAATGAAATTGTTTTGCAGGCGAAAGAGTAAAAACTGCATTTAATGGCAATCTTCAAATCCTTCCTTTTCCTCCCATCTCCCTTCCTTGAGAATTCAAAATGAAATAGCAAAAATCTAGTTATCTTCCACAATTGTTTGTTACAGATGAATGAAGGACACTTACCAGGGCAATGGCCGTAGCCTCTTGCATTGGAAGTCATTGGCTACACTTCACATAAAATGATGGATTGAGGATGCTTTGCATTTGGCCCGCCTTTAAGAGTTAGATGTAACAAAAAAAATTGCTATACAGTTTTGGAATTGTTTTATAGCTATCCCAAGTCATACAGGGAATATGAAAACTATAACTTCCAAGTCACTTGCCCTATTCCCTTTTCTGTTTTCTCCTTTGTCTCCCTGCCACCTTGTCCTTCATCTCTTGCTTGTATGATTTGCTTGCTTCTTCGTTTGCAACTCTGTATTCATGATATGTAAGTAGCTAGTTCAACATACAGATTTACTTTTGATGATGGGAAAGAGAGTCTTAGGCGCTTTGGGGCCCCCTCCAGTTCAGATAATGATGATTTTGCTATATTAAAAAAAATTATAAAGACATGACAACGGTAGCTCCATTAGTCTTCATTCTCTCTATCTTAATATTTGTTATCCAAGTTCTTGGGAAGTCTGATCCATTAGCCCCTTGCTGACAGTCAGATAGCTGTTCAGGGGGGTTACTGTTGCTCTGTGGTAAATTGCAAGTTTGTTTCTTCATTTAACATTACTGCCAGAAACATAGTTTGGAAATAATGCATTCAAATTAATGTGTTCATGTTAAAAAGTCAGGGGTTTTTGTCCAATATGAGGGAAATGGTCTTGAAAGCTAATATTTTAAAATTGTGTTTTAAAAATGTAATGTTAATGAAAGTTTTTACTCATTAAAAGTGTTAGTTTTGCTTGTCACTCTGTAAAGCAGAGATGTTAGTCCTCATGCCTCCTTTTTAAAAAGTAAAAGGTTTATAACACCCAGAAGCTGTTAACAAAACCAGTGGTCCACAGTACTTCATAAGACTTCTTAGAGTTTTTGTCTGAGAATATTAACAACCCCAAAGTTACAAGCTGTCATATTATAAAAAGCTGATTATTTCCCCTTCTTGCATAGACTTCATTAGTATAATACTGAAACAAATTTAGCTTAAAAAGGTAGTAATCTAGTTAAAGTTGTTTTCAGAGAACTGGACTAGCTGATTCCACATAGCAACAGCAGTCATAATGAATTATTCCTACTGCATCCAAGTTACATCAACAGCACTGTTCCACAAAAAAGAAAAAAGGAAACTCCAATGAACAGTTTTGACAATAATTTCATCTGGAGCAAAAGCACAACATAGTAGCTTCTGTACATGATGAAGCCGAGATGATTTGCATGGTCCCTCCCAAAAGGTCCCTGTGCAGTGGTTCCTCTACTTATGAATTTAATCTGTTCTGGAAGATGGGCGTAAGTGGAAATGGTGTAAGTTGAAGCACCATTTCCCACTGAAATGCAATTAATCTGTTCTGGCTGAAGAAAAAAATCACCCCAAAAAAATCACTGCAAGACCGACTGGAAACGGTATTAATCCCTTCCGGCTGAAGTGGGGGAGAAAAGCAAGCAGAGCATGCAAGACAGATGGAAATGGGGAAAAGCAATACAAAAAGCAAGCGAAGCATGCAAGAAAGATTGGAAATGGGGGAAAAGCAATGCAAAAAGCAAGTGAAACATGCAAGACAGATCGGAAATGGGGAAAAAGTAAAGTACCAACAAACAAACCCCCAAGACCCATCGGAAATGGGGGGAAAACTCCAAAAAGCAACCAAACCATCGAATACCCATTGGAAATGGGGGGAAAACTCCAAAAAGCAACCAAACCCCCCAAGACCCATTGGAAATGGGGGGAAAACCAAAAAACAAACAAACCCCCAAGACCCATCACAGCACAGAAACATAACCCCCCCAGCCCAAAATCATGCTGCAAAAACACCCAGAACAAAAAACAGAAAATAGCACCTTACCTTACTAGGCAGCCTCCTCCAACCACACACTCTCTAACTGCTGGGGCAAAAGAGCTGCAAAGAAGCAGCCTTGTCGCCACCTACAGTTAGCAATTTGAATTTCCTACCTTTTTCCCTGCCTTTTTCTGTTCATAACTCAAAGTTCTGGTCACAAGTATAAACAAAATTTTGCGGCCGGAGCTGGTTTTAACTCGAAATGGTCATAAGTAGGGACGTTCATAAGTCGAGGCACCACTGTACAAAAAAGGAGCGAAACTACTAGTGAAGGCCTAGTTGAACTGCCCATATCAAATGATTGATTAATGAACACAGAAAAGTGAAATAACAAAAGCCCTCTTGGTGTATGAAGTGTTTATGTTTGTTTGTTTTTTGCTGAACTTGCACTATTGCACTGGTGTTGAACTTTTGAAGTGGGTAATACAACTAAGTTTTGAGCCTTGTTCTTTCTGACTATCCCACAGGTGGCTGCAAATGAAATTTTTGTACCAAGAGAAAGTTTTGTTATTTTTCTTTTCCATTACCTTGTTTGTTTGCTTGTTTCGTTCAAAGAGGCAAATTTGCAGACAGCTCTGGGATGTGCATTCCACCTGGACCTCAGCAGTCAGTTTGTTGGGCCATAAACTGTCATGTTTGCCATCAACAAATGTTGTAATTAACATGGTAATAAGGCTAGTTTGACAAGTTAAAAGTTTTTCATTTCAAACATTAACTCCAACAAATTAATTTGCAAATTTTGATCACTAAACTTTAATTAATTTTAAAACCTAACATTCCAAGCTCCAGCCAGAAAAAAGTGTTTACAAAGGCTGAGGAGACTGGCGATGCTGGTGTTCTTGTAACAAAACGTCCAAGTTAGGTGGTCTGAAGCAATCAAAGACAGGCATAATAAATACTCGTCTAAATGCACTGGCTGATTTTTTTTCCCCCGTGGGTGCTTCCCTGTGAGGTTTTTCCCCTTTTTCCCTGTGCATTCACACTGCCTCATTCATGGGAGCTTAGGCAGTGATTTCACATTTCACGTCTTCAGCCAGCAGCCTTGCTATGTCTTCTCATTGTTCCAACTTGGTTCTTATTGAGAAAATCAGGTTTGCAATGCCTTTTAAGTGTGACTTATAGAAGCTTTCTATCTGGAATCATCCAGCAACCCACCCACCCCCGCCCCATCTTCCTCTTGAAAGCGTCAGTGTTGTGCAAACTTGAGATGTTTGGGTCAAGAGAATGCTTTCTTTAACTGATTGATAATAATCAGTTCTGACATGGAAATGAAGTGGAGGGAGAGGAAAATGTTGGGAATGTATGTAAGGAGAGGGGCTTGCTTGATCGGGGAGCCTATGAGTGTGTGGAGGAAAAGGATAATGTGCTTAGCTCTTATTCTGAACTATGCTTCCTAAAGTCACTGAACACTTAATATGTGCAGCAGCTGCAACAGAAGTCTGTGGTTGTTCAGTGGAGGCCGAAACTTAGCTTTGTGCCTGTTCAGATGCAGTGAAGACTGGCCCATTAGGGCATATGAGATACTGGACCATCCCAGGCGGTTGACCCTTCCGGCAGCAGAGGGCCAGGCCCTGCCTGTGTTCCTCTCTTGAAGAGCTCTAAGCTTTAAACTGAGAAAGGGGGGGGAGGGGGAGGGGAAAAATGAGAGAATGAATGTAAGTCAACTGCTCAACATCAGAGCAAAGTGCAGAGAGGAGCAGGAAGAGGTCGGAATATTTCTAATAGGATTGAGGGAGATGAAAGGGAAAGAGATTCCGAGACCATACCTTCCAATTGGTGTGGGGCGCAAAATATGAACCTCCAAAGGAGAATGCGGTCAGCTCATTGGCCCAGCTTTCTGGACAGCACCATCCCAGTTCAACTCTGCTACTAGACTAAAACAAAAATGGGAAGTGCAGTGGGAAGTGTTGCATCTGACCAAGGGCTATTATTTACATGTAGTTAAATCTTTTATGATCCCAGGATGTTTAAAGAGATGGAGCAGGCAGGGCATATGACTTAATTTTTCTGTAGTTTAAAACCAGGAGACATTTCTTGTTTAGAGCTGATAATGCTCCAAATAATAATTTTGTAATCTGCTATAGCTCAGTGAGTTAGGTATTTGGCTACGGAGTCAGAGGTTGGGAGTCTGATGCCCCACTGTGCCTCCCAGTAGAACAGCCAGTCTCTCTGGCCTTGGACAAGCTGTGCAGTCCCAGAGCATTCCCAGAAGCAGGGAATGGTAAACAGCTTCTGAGTATGTATGCCAAGAAAGCCCTGAAGAGAGTTGCTATAAGTTGGAATTGACTTGATGACACATTTTTAAAACAAAAACAACAACAACAACAACAACTCCAGGCACAGTGAAAATTATAAAAACATTGGTATTATATAACAGATACAAGTTTTAACCAAAACCCTATCTGTTAAATATCGACACAGTATGTATGCTGTTCCTAATATTGCCGTTTTTTGTAGCTCTGGTGGTGTGATTTCTGAGATCTGCAACTGCTTATAGCACTGTGTGAAATTTCTTGATATTGCTCCCAAAGCCCCAATGACTACAGGGACCACTGAAGTGTGTTTCTTTCAGAGGCGAGATGTTTCGATCGCCAGGTCTCTGTACTTTGTTACTTTTTCCAATTCTTTATTTTCAACTCTGTCATCTCCTGGAATTGCAGTGTTAATGATCCAGATATTTCTTCATTCTATTACTGCTATGGCTAGTGTGTTATGTTCAAGGTGTATGTCCGTTTGGATCTGGAAATCCCACAAGTTCTTGACTTCCTCATTTTCTGACACCTTCTCTACCTGATGATCCCATGGGTTTTGGGAGGCTGGCAAGTTAATTATTTTTGCATAATGACCAGTACATTAACTTTGCCAGTCTGTCATGTCTAACTTTGTAATCTGTTTGTGCAATCTTTGGACATTCACAGATGAGGTGTGACACAGTTTCATTTTTTTCTTGGCAGAGTCGACATTTGCTGGTAGCACTAATCCCTCAGATCTAAGTTTTCATAACGTTGTGTCATGAGTTCAGCCAAATAAGATCTGTCACTTGATAATGAGCATATTATAATACCATTTTCTAACTCTATTCCATCTGTTTTTTGGATCTTGCCACAGTGTATGGACAAAACTACATATTTGTGAATTCCAAATTTCATTTGTATATTTTCACTAAATATTTGCACTGTGTTTAGCAGTTATGATGATGATATAATGATGATTCCCACAAAACTTCAGTCTATTGTTGTTACTAGTGAGACATGGGGTTTAACTACAAAAGGACGACAGCCAAGCTATTAAGGAGTTTATGAACTGGTCCAGAGTGGATACAAGAAAGCAATCAAACAATGTTAGCCTGAAAGCAGGGTATTCATCCCATCTGCCTGATCCTCACTGAACTTTCTCAAAGTTTTTTTAAGAATAGCACTTTGTGATTTGTCCCTGCCGTACTCCAACCCATGTGATAAGCAGCATAACTAAAAATGTGTCTTAAAATATTCCAGGGGGAAATTAAGATTCTTACGTCTTGGGTAGAAACTAAGAAAACATACTACCATGGAAGCGGGATGTTATAAATACCACACTGTCCCTCAAGCCAATATTAGTAGTCAGATATCAAGGAGATAGATGTTTTCTGAATACTTAGGGTAAGTAACAGAAATGTTTATTCAAGTTACAACAATTTGTTCTGACTCAAAGTTTTAGATAGCCAATACATCAATTTCAGATACGTATCCCACCCTCTGGAGCTAAAATATATTTGACTAACTAGACAATCACACTGTTGGGGAAGGGCCATTTGATTACTGTACTCACTTAGTAGGCTACAAAACATTATTCT